CCGCCCTAATGTTAATCTTAATCTAAGGTCAATGTCATTATGTTTTAGGTAGACCTCCATATGATTGATGGTTATAAGCAAATCCTTAATACTCCAATAATCATTTTTTATTTTTGAAAAAAAAATAGAAATTGCTTCTTATGTGACACATAAGTCCACCGAAGAAGCACTAGTATTTTATACTTGACGATCCCATTTAACCTTAGCTCTAATGCACCATCTCATCAATCTAGGGCTGTCGATGGATAGTCGAAAATCTGATTATCGTCCGCATTCATATCCGTTTAAAGAGGAAATATCTGCATCTGTTTTAAACGGATATCATCCGTATCCGATTACTAAACGGATACGGATTTGGTAATTGTATATCCGATCTGATTAAAATCCGATTCGAATATGCATCCGTTTAAATAACTGTTTATCCGAATATCCGATCCGTTATATATTCTTTCTTAATTTTGTATGTTTATATTTTGTTTCTCTATTGATATTTCAAAGTATAAAAATTTTTATATACAAAATAAATGTGTAGACATATAAAAATACGTGTATATGTGTGTTGTGTATATCTTTTTATTATATGAAGTTATCGTAGATTATCATAAATCATAAAAACAAAGAAAATAATTATCCATAACAAATTTTAGTTGATTTAATAATATTTTGACTTTAATCTAATTTAAAATTAAAGTATTGTTTAATTTGGTTTTAAAAATTGGAAAGATACGGATATATCCGATATCCGACGGATGCGGATACAGTTTTAATTTTCAAAATCCGTCAAGATCCGTATCCGAATTCGATATCCGACAAAAATAAATGGATACGGATTTGGTAATGACACATCTGATCCGGTTAATATCCGTTTACACCCCTACATCAATCTTTACTACTTCATCCGTCCCTAAATTGATTTTGATTTCTTTTGGCCCCAATTTTTGATAATTTATTTTTCTTTTTGTATTTTATTGATTATTTTATAAAATAAAATATTATTTTACTTGTTATTTTGTAGAACTTTTGACATAATTTTGATATATAAATTTTATCAGATATTCTTATACCATTTTTTAAAGAAAAATAATTTTAAAAAATATAGACTTTTGCCTCGTAAGTGAAAAGTTGTAGTCAAATTGGGGATGAAGAAATAAAAAAGAAAAGCAATTAATTTAAATTCAAATTGTAATGCCTCCTAATAGTATTGGCACCCATAGAAGTAGCCCAACCCTAGCCTTTACGTGCAACAACAGATAGGGGGGGGGGGTGAACTAAGGTCAACATATTTTATTACTTATCATTCATTCTTACTGGAATTTGACCAGATCGGAAACCGCTTTAAATATAACTACAATCAGATTAGATCATATCACATCAAAACTTATTTCAATTAGATCACAACCAATCAGATCAGGTGATGAGAGCATGGCCTAAAACAGACTCAACTTTCTTTGGGAAAAATCAAAATGCTGGAAAATTACAATAACTCGTAATACAAATTCTATAAATAGCTAGAAACCCATTAAAAGCGTGGAATGCACTCACTTATGAACTCTTAGCTTTGAGTCATGGAACAATTACTCTCCACTCATCCTCCCACATTGTCCTCTTGCGTTGAGTTAGCACAGGTTGACATTCTTCCACCACTTGTAAATGTTCTCTTCTACACTTCTCACATCTCTAAAATAGAAAATCATAGCAGTAGTTTTCCAAACAAAAAAGCTATGCAACAGAGCGAGTGAAGAAAAATCATGTGTGTCTATGTTAAGTGGTAGAGATGAGAATGCTGAGGTAGATGAATATATGAACACATGAGGATGAATAAGATCCAAAATGAAGTTATTCGAGGAAGGGTAAGAATGACACTTGCGAAGGATAAGCTGCATGAAGCTAGAATGAGGTTTTTTGAACATGTAAGGTAGATGAGTGTAGAGGCATATGCACAGAGATAAGGTTGAGTGTTAGTAGGCATGAGTAGACGTAGAGGTAGACCTTGGAAAAGCTGCTAGGAGTTGATTAGACCGAACCTACGACTTTAAGATCGTACCGAGAATATACCTTAGATAAGAGTGCTTTGAGAGCTAGGATTAGAGTGGTTGGATAGACTTTTCAGCCTTAGTTTTTAGTTTTTGCTACTATATTTTTACCTTCACTACAAGATTTCGCGTAAAGTGCTACAGAAAATTTTGGTTGCAAATACTCCTCTTTGGTCCTGGAATCCTTAATTGCGACGGACTTGCGACGGAATATTTCTATCGCATACAATTTGTCGCATTTCATTAATTTATGACAGAATGAATAATCCGTCACAAATTTGCGACAATTCTTGCAACAAAATGTTTTATTCGATATTTGCAACAAAATACAATGTCCATCGGAGATTGCAACTGACTTTGCGACAAATAGTAGGGATATATGATTTTGTTCCTTGTGACAAAATTTTTGATGGAATCTACGGTCTGTCGCAAATAAACCAGATTCCGAATAGCACAATGTTGTTTTTAGCCAAAATTCCCTTTTTCCCATAACAACTATGTTTCTTTTTGTTCAGGGGTATACAAACAATTCAACAATGCAAACACTTCCACATTAATTAATTTAAATAATTCAATGTCAATCATAAAACATAATCCATCGAAGCACAAATCTATTAAATAGAATTTAAACTTAAGATTGTTTATAAAACTTAATAGAGCTATTTGTTGACAAATTGAAATCATGCCACACAACTAGTTCCAGATCCTCCCATCCCATCGGCATGATCTCGAGGTGATGGAAGATTTCTGCCACATAGTCTTCGCATTTGTTCAGCAACCGTGAACTAAATTTTATCCAACCTTGCATTCATTAGTTCATTCTCTTCTCTGAGCCGCTCAATCTTTGAAATATCGTTGGTGCTTTTTCTTCTACCTTGAGATGTAGGTTTAAGGGGTTTTATTTGTTCTACAAGATCCCCGACTCCCTTAATCATGTTCATATGATCAAAGTCACCAACCAGCGCAAACCAAATCTCCTGATCAATAACTTTAAGGCCTGACCTCAATGCTATTTCCAAACAGATTGGTCATCATAAGTTATTGCCAAATAGAGCCGTGGTTTGAAGGGCCAGGGTTGACAGGTTGTATTGGTCGGGAGATGCTTTGGGCTATTATTCGGTGAAGAATGGCTACCAGAGGTGAATGGGCGTAGAGGTTAATATTCTTGGGTTTTCCAAAATTGGGGGAGACTCTTAAAGATCCTGGTGGCACCTAAGGTTTGGGTGTGTCTTCAAAGAGCATTGCGGTATATTCTTCCTACGATCTCTGCGTTGAATACCAATGGATTGAGTCTCGGAGATTTGTGTCCCCTGTGTGGCTCTCAAGGTAGATCATCTCTTCCCTTGGTGCCCCTCTGCAAATGTAGCTTGGTGTCTTGTATAAAAGGGTGGTCGGAGGGATACAGCAGCATTGTTCGAGTCTTGGTTTTAGCTGGTTTCTTGTTTTCTTTCCCTTTCAAAGCTGCATATTTATGCTTGGATTATTTGGGCTCTACGGAAGGCGGTGTAACGAGGGGGTATGGGAGTCTAAAATTCTTCTTCTCAGGGTGACGACTATGTAACAAGGAAATATGGGTGGTTTCCTCTACGGCAGGTGTTGTTTTAGAGGGGCAAGGGAGTACTTTGAAAGGAAATTCATCTAATTTCTTTGTGGATGCTTCTCTCTTTCCCAAAATGGATGTAGTTGGTTTTGGTTGTTCTTTTATCTCCGGAGGGGGGATTTCAAATTACGGTCAATGGCAGATTGAATTGTGCTCAGGATCCATTATTGGAAAAAGCGGTTACTTGTCGTGAGGCGAACTCTTGGTTGAAGAATCGCATGGTGAGGGAGGTTAAACTCTACTCAGATTGGTCACATGTGGTTTTGATTGTCCCAGGGAAACTTACTTATCATGATCTTCATACTTTGGTACTTTGATTGAAGACTGATCTTTGCTTTTAGCTTCTTTTCATGTTGCTTCTATTTCTTATCTTCTTCGCCCTGGTAATTGGATTGCCCGTTATCTTCTACGTCTTGTTTCTTCTGTTAGGTTTGAGAGGAAGTTTCTCCAGTTTATTTTGTTGCAAACTCGATTGGTTGATTTATATATCTATGTGTTCTTTCAAAACTATGCTTGTTCACAATTATGACTTTCCCGACTTGCAAGTATAGTTGTAATGAAACAAATATTTTTTATTTCATTCATCATTCCTATTGGGTTACAAATAAGAATATTCCCTTATTTGATTTGGTATCTAAATGAAAATATTAAAAAAACATGGGTCATAATAGTAAATATTTAATCAGTGAGTATCTAGGCAATTGGGTAATTCCTTGAAAAAATAATCATTGAGGACTATTTCGGCATACAGAACTTCACGAAAAACTGGGAATAAAGAATATAATATTAGTCACATTTTTTAAATAAATTGTAATTTAAGATATTTTTCTAATTCAAGTAGCGTTAAACGAATCGTATACTGTAAATATAATAAACAAATCAATTTTGAATACCGAAAATAAATTCAACTGAATTTGAATATGAATACTTGTCCAAACCTACTAAATAAATGTATACTTGTCCAAACTCCAAACAACTAAACACAATCAATAATGTTGAATATTTTATTCCATTACACCCCTACCTGCAAGGGATCAGTACTGACGTACGTGACGATGACCAACGTACGTGAAGGTAGTCGGCAAAGGTGGCCAGAGGTCGATGACAGTGGTTGGAGGCCGGCAGCATTTGTGACAGACCGGATGTCGACGGTGGTGGCTGGAGGTCAGCATTGATAGAGGGGGGATTGGTGGCGACAATGGTTGTAAATAATGATATATAGCTAGCCATCCATACGTCATGTTGCATGATCACAAACACTATGAATTTATAGTTTGAAAAAATACTCATGTTTTGTATCAGGGAGGGGGGTTAGGGGGTGACTTGACGCCGAGAGTAGAAATCATCCATTTTACAAACAGAACACCATAGGTACCCAAAAGCCGGGTGTGGTTCCATAATTATACGGTTCAATAATTATTTAAAGCCAAATTAATAATCACGTGCCAAGTACGGAGTACTACGTAATCAATAATGAATACCCAAACAGTTTCTAAATACTCCTGGGACGGAGGGAGTAAGAATAGCGAGAACAATGCAGGCAGCTAGCAGGCATGGAATCCAGATCAAAAGAATGATGAAGGAGTGTGCATACGCTTTGAGCAGATCAATAAATTCTTTGGGCGGTGGAGACAGGGCGCAAGAACACAACAATAACTGTTATGTTGTCTTGGCTGCCTCGTTCGGCAGCTTCAGTTGCCAATCTCTTACAACACATTCCCGCCTCTTTAACCGTGTCTCGTATTATGCCCACTACTTCCTCCTCCGTCACAACATCCCACAGCCCATCGCTACCCATTACCTGATAAACACACCATATCAGCTAGCTACATACTGACTGTATTTGAAAGCAACCCAAAGAAAGCACTTAATTGTTCATTTCATTTCAATTATTTTGCTTTCTTGGTTTAGGAAACAGATAGTGTGGGTTTAAGCCATAAGCTTATCGACCCTAGTTAGAGCATCTCAAATGTGGTTGCTAAAAAATGGGTTTCTAAATGTTATTTTAGCAATCAAATATCTCTCTAACCATGATATGTACTACCTCCGTCCCATTTTATAATGCCTGTTTCAGTTTACGATGTTTGACTGAAATTATTTTCAAACCATTTTATATGACAAATGGTATAGAATTAAAAAATAAAAATTACATATTAAAAAACTATATCAAAAGATCTACAAAACTAGTAGTGACAATAATATTTTATTTTATCAAATTGCTAACAAAAATAGAGAAAGAAAGTGAATAAAGTTTGATACTGTGAATAGTAAACAGAAATTATAATTTGGGACAGAGGGAGTATATTATACCTATTTATTACGGAGAATATTTAATCTAGCAAATCCTTCCAACCATGAGACGTGTACTTATTCTATTCATTAAATATATCTACCCATCCAAAGAGTAGTTTTTTTAAATAACAAGTGTGCTAGTTAAATGACAACTTTGGTATAATTTACCTATTCCCTTGGATTGTCAAAAAATGAAAATAAGTTGCTAAACTTGCTATTTTTTCCGGAGTATCATTGAGAAACAAGGTTGAACATGCTCTTGGTATGTAAACTTACAATGTATTCGTCGTCCCCACACAGGATAGTTTCAGAAATCTCAGGTTCAGCAGTTACTGCTGGCTTCAGATCGTCATCGCCAATAGACCGTGTGACCTGTTCAAGCTCATGCGTTAAAGCACCAAACAGCTCATAATTAATTAAATTGCACGAGTTTTATCCCATTACTTTGACAATATGCAAAATGGTTACTAACCTAGTAGTTCTCTTACTTACAGTCCTGTAGTTCATAAATTTTGCTCGATTCAAATAATTCAATGACTTTTTACGAGAGAGTACAAATCCTTGCCGAATTTTGTCCCGTGCAACTCACGTGCGCGCGACTTTTTTGACGGGAGATTACAAATTCTCGTCAGATTTCATCCCGTGCAACTCACGTGCGTGCAAATTTTATACGGAGTACAGTACTTTTGGTATTTTTATATAAATAGTTTAAGATATGTAGTTTTTAGAATTTCTAGCTGTGAAGGACCAAATTTGAGCACACATAAGCTGCACAGGGACAAAATCGGGAAAATTTTGAATTCTATAACAAGAAACTCCTCAAATTGAGCAAAAAAATTGATTTGTGAAACTTAAACTCACAATGTGTCTATAAAACCATATGGCATGCTCAAAAGTTATGGGACCCAATCTGTAACTTTCTCTTATTTAAGAAATGGTAATCAAATAATGGGAACCATCCGTTTTCATCAAGTTCATTTAAAGCAGTGAGATTGTTATTAGCAACAAACGTAAACTATAACAACAATGCAGCAAACATGGTGTTAACTTGCCCCACGAGTGATGTCCTGACTCCTGGGACCAATAAAGATTAACTGAAAAAAGAAAATATAAATGGAGTTAAGGGGCAAAATTTGAAGGTAATTAACCTGAAGAGCAGCACTCCCAACCCTCCATGTATCAACTTGCCATTTGACCTCGATCCCAGCTCTGGTGACTCGCTCTCTCTCCTCAGCACAACTTGCAACATGGTCCTACTATATTAACATTATATTAGTTTTAATCGGGTTTGAAAATGAGATAGATTAAAACTTCAAACGGATGACTATATGGAAATGACATTATATTAGAAACTCTTGATAAATGAAATGAATTCATCTCACCCTGCTTAATACATATGGATGTCCAGCTCGACACAAGATTGTTTTGCAATCGCCAGCATTAGCAACAACAAGCTTGTTTTTAACTATAAGTGCAACAATTGCAGTGCAACCAGGATGAAAGTCTTTTTTAATAGCTCCCTTGCATTTCTTCTGAGAACTAAGTTCGTGTCTGAATGCAATATCTGTTTGAATGAATGATTCTGTAAGGGCTTTTGACGGACATTGAAATCTGTCTCTTGAGCCTAGAGATCTCAAAATTTCAGGTAGAGCTCCAGCTGAAAACTCAGCAGCAGCTGCACCTACACCAAAGTAATAAATAATCTCCATAAGGAAATACTTCAATAATTGCATATCTCATATACTTAAATGAACTCATTAAGGGAGCAAATTGAAAACTTGCATTCATCGGCTCATTGCTAATATATAAAGGGTACCTTATTAAGTATGTGCTTCAGTAGAAAAGCATGGAGAAAGCACATAATGAACATTAAAATAATTAAAAAAAATTATTTGTCACCCACTCAACCTAAGAGTGTTTTTGTGTTCATTACAATAAACCCCCCTAAAACTTCATGCTAGCTTGTAACTTATTTACCTCGATGACCATCTAAGATTCCAAATACATGGATGTCCTGTGTATCACACATGTTGGGAATAAGGAAGTGTCTATCCTCCATTGTTTCTCTTCTCCCACAACATGCAAAGGAACCCCACGATAGTACTGGAGAATATACTGAAGGATCATCAGGAGAATCATCCCACATGCCCACACAAGAATTAGGATTGAGAGAACTTTTTTTTGCGAAATCTTCACCCTGGGTAGACCAATTAATACTCTCATGATAACCTTGTGTAACAGAATGTTTGTCTGATTCCTTTTCACCTTTCATGAGTTCACTTTCAAGTTCCATGATGGAATCAAGTTCTATTATGATATCATCAAATGAGGGCCTACTTCGGGGATCTGCATCCCAGCACCTACTTATTAAGGAAACTAAACTCACAGGTACATTCAAATTTGGACCAGCAAGAAGAGGTCGCAAACTTTCAGATACCACAGCTGCAGTAAGTTGTTGCTCTGTGTAGTTCATCTCAAGCACAGTATGAGCCTGCCAATAAGTACACCTTTTTGGGTAAGCAACGAAAACAAGTATGATTGTAGCAAACAAGACACACTCACAGAAACTGTCTTCTATCTATTTTAGATATGCAAGATCAAATTGTTGAAAAAATGGTATATGGATGGGCTGGTAGTAATCTACATATAGTTGCCATGAAATATTTAGCCATTTTCTGGTTTGCTAGAGTTTTTACCATGATTTAATATGCTTTTGGACATTTCTAGAGTAAACCAATTATATGTTAATGACTCATTAGATTATATATTATAACGCACCTTCCAAAATAAGTCAATGGTTATTTTTTTATAAGGCATTTTTTTCTATAAAACAATAACTATTTTTTCCATTGTTTGTACCTAAAAGACTATTCATTTCATAGGAATGATAAAATAGGATAGCAATAGAATAGCATATTGTTTTCGTTGGATCTCAATTAACATTATTCCTTGAATCACGTAAAATGGCAAATTGTGCCTAGCAATATTATGAAGATGGAGCAATGAATATTATATTCAATGTTTTAAACTTTCACCCCAGTGGTTAAACCCTTGAGAAAAAGCATTTCCAGACCCATTGATCTTATTTACTGGATTTTCAAGAAAAGGGCATTCATATTCCTAGAGTGCTGAAGCATAAAAAAGAAGAGTAAGACTTGCACACGAAAAGTAAAGAATGCTTATTACCAACATGAAATGTTGGAAAAACTAAAGATCCTCAAAATGTGAAGTTCGACAAAAGAAAAAACCAACCTGTGCCTCTGTACGCAGATCAGTGTACGGGACAACACCTGTTAGAAGCTCACTGCAGCATATTGGAAAAAGATTGTTCTCATAGGAACTCAAGAAATATAATATTCAAACCAAAATTTATGCTAGGCACTTGAACAGACTAACTCACCTACTAGCTACCAATTGAAATGACCAAACATGTCAATTTTACTCAAACGAGGTGAACGTGTATCAAATCCCTTAAACATAATAACATAGAAAAAAAGAATCTATTCCAATAATCACGCTGCAAAAAACAGAAGGAAAGTAGCAAAGAACTATACAGGGATCATGATGTTCATAACGAGCTATAAACTACCAGCCCAAAAGTCTGTATGTTCAAAAAAAAATGGATAAAAGGTGATTGAAATGTCATTCGATGACATAGTATTTTAATCTTCTGTTGTTTTAAATCTCAAATACTCCCTCCGCCCAACATAGATATTCCTAGTTACTATTCATAGGGTCAAGCTTAACTCACTTTGTTTGCTTATTTTTACTACTCATTTGATAAAATAATATAGCTTTGCCACTACTAGTTTTGTAGAGCTTCTCATGTGCTTTTTTACTATATAAATTTTAGTTTTAAGTTTTGTGCCTACAATCAAATAAATTAAATTGAAAATAAAGTTGGTCAAGCCTCGTAACGCGTAATGAGAAGATCTTTGGTGGGCGGAGGGAGTATACATTAGGATAAAGATTAAGTCATCCACAACCCTGTATTCAAACAAACCGTATTTCATTGTATGTGGATCAAACAAACAGTTTCGTATGGCATGCATTCACATCCTTCTTTTTCAAGGATAGCAAAGCACAAAGCAGTATGGTAAAGTTCGTACTTGACTGAAATTCCGAAACTGTACACGTCGGATTTTTCTGTAGGTATATCTTTCCTTAGTACTTCTGGTGCCATGTAAATAAATGTGCCAACCATATTCCTCTTGTGGAACCCACCAGTTGGCTTGCCAATTGACGTCCAGTTTTGAGTGCAAACTTGTTTAAGATTTGTCTTGTACTCTGCCAAACCAAAGTCAGCTAGATGTGGTTGAAGGTTTCCGTCAAGCTGAATAACAGCAAAGAGTATGTTACAATGCAACAATGGGTTAGTACGTAAAACTTATTAATACTCTATTCCTTCTCAAACTAGTTTCATTAAGGTTTCTTCACACATAATAACAAGTAAGCATCGGCTTTTCCAAAATTATTAAAATAAATAAAGAAATGAATTTTATCTCTTAAACTTTTAATGACATTTTAGTGTGAAGAAAAAAGACAATGCTTAAATAGCCTTTTCTAAAACAAAACATATACTCCGTATTATTAGGATAAAATTATTTCCCCAAGATGACAATTTATTAGTGAATTGAGTAATTACAAGCAAACAAGATATTTAAGTGACATAACCAGAAACTTTATTATAAACTTGAATGGAATGAGCGAGGACCATAAAAATGACATTACTAGAACATTTGCTGGCTTCACATCCCTGTGGACAATCCCAAGTGTGTGCAGATATTGGAGAGCCTTTGCTGCAAAGAAATCACAACCACATCAAATTCGGTCATCCACGTAAACTCTCCGCTTCTAAAAAATGCACTCTCGCTTTACCATCCCTACGTATGCATACATCATCGGCATTATTCTCATTAAGGAAAATATACACCATTGCAGTAAACGCTAAATTAGCAGGAGAAGACATGGTTCACCTAGCTTAGACGACACATCGAGCACCTTGTGAGTGCTAGGACTCCATTGCTCCACGTGCAACTGAGCAGCTAGATTGCCAAACTCGTAGAACTCGAAGAAAAACATATAGTTCGGAGGCCTAGCATGTGCAGCAACCAACTTTGCGACTCCTGGATGGTCCAGCTTGCTAGTTTTCATTAGCATAATAAGTTTTCATTAACCAGGAAGGAAAATACAAAATGATGCGGATAAATAATAAACACACTAGCAAAAGTGAAGACAATGCGTAAAGATGAGGAAGAAGATAGAGGATGAACACCAGAGCAACTGCAACTCCTTGTGGAATTTATCCAAATCATCGGAAGTGGCCAGAATGGGCTTTTTCACGGCGACTTTCCGGCCTCTGAGGATGGCTTCGTACACCACACTCTCCGAACCTAGAAATCAAACAAAAACAAATAGAACAACGCATCAGTTTAAGAATTAGGGAAAATGGACCCAAAAGCGGAGAAGCAATTCGCATATGGATTGGAAACCTCTGGCAATCGGAAGTGAGAGAGAGTAAGAGGAGGGAGGGAGGTGCAGAGGGATCGTTCGGCTGCGACAACAGCCGCGAATGCAAGCGTTTGGTTCGGCGATTTCATTGGCCATGTTCTCTTTCTCTCGACCAGAATTGGAATTGATATCAGACGACGACCATATAGCATCATCATCTCTCGTCGCCCCCTTCCATATCAGCGTGTTGCATCTCTTTCATGAGTTCCCTCAAAGCCATTTCAAATTACTTCTCTTTCTTTTTTTATAGCTATTTATCCAGTTTTGACTTTTTTTAATTAATTGTTTTCAATTTTTGACATATAATTAAATAAAATGTATATTATATATTCATTAGAAAAATCGTATTTCCTCCATCTTAAGATAATCTTCCTAGTCGGTTTACGATATTTGACTGAAGTTATTTTCAATTCAATTTATTTGATTATAGGTGTAAAATTTAAAAATAAAAATTATATATTTCAAAACTATATCAGAAATTCTACAATGCAAGAGATGACATGACTATATTATTTTATCAAGTAACTGATGAAAATAAGTAAAGAAAATAATTAAAATTTGACCATGTGAATTGTGACTCGGAAGATCATTCTAGGATGGAAGGAATATTTTAAAAATATTTGATCTAATAAATCTAACAAAACTATTTTTCTATCAATAACTAATTTCATTCTTATTTAATTTGATGTCAAAATTTACCAATTTTGACCGAAAAAAGTCAAAAATAGACAAATACTAAGGGACGGAGGGAGTATGGTATATTGATTCAATAAAATAATTTTTTGAAAATATTTGATATAACAAAACTAATAAAACTATTTTTGTATTAATATCTAATACTCCGTATCATTTTTATTTAATTTGTAGTCAAAATTTACCTATTTTGACCCAAAAAGTCAAAAGTAGACAAATAGTCATAGACGGAGAGAGCAGTTTCTTTTTAAAAAAATTGAAAAAGATTGCAAGTTTAAAATATCTTTAATAAAGTCTTGTTTCTTGGATTGGAAAAATTAATATTCACTTTTTCAACTTCTTTCAGTTTTTCTAACTACTTCTAGTTCTTTCCAACCCTTTCAATTTCTTTGAACAACGACTTAAACAGGTATTAATATGTAATAATATACAATAACAAATTTGTAACATACCACTTCAAACACGGACATATTTTAGTTCTTTTTTATCCAAAATTAGAGTTTTCTTAAATATTTATTTCGCTGATCATTTAGTTGAGTGTCTTTTTAAAACTTTAATTTTTTTTACATTTTCCAACTCATGATAATCTTCAACTCCTTGTAGTTTTTTTTAATTCCTTGCAATTTTTTCTAACTCCTTACATCGTTTTCAAACTCCTTTCAACTTCTTCTAAGTTCCAATATCCAACTCTAAACTTTCAATCCAAAAGAGCAGGACCTAAAAGTGGGGGCTTATATTAAATGAGGTGGGTGAGGCACAATAAATATAGTAAGTGAGAATAGTTGTGATATTTAAAATGTTAGAAAAAGAAATATGAAGATCTTTTCCAGACAAATATAGAGAGCATTTGGAAAGATATGTAATGAATAGAGAAAGTATTTTTGAGTAACACAATACAGAATCAATTAAAATAAAGATAATTGTATAACTAAAATAAAAAAATTATGTAAAATGAGCATTCAATTATCCATAATTGAGTATTTGTTGTAGATGTACAGAAATAACTGGTAACTCCCCGACCCGCATGGCTCAAACACAAGGACCAGCAAATCAGTTTCTCACCTAACTGGCATCCAAACACAATAATTTTCAAAATACACTACAAGAAAATCACAAAATTGCAACAGATATTTGCGACGGGTGCACTTCCATTGTACACAGCGACCAAATTTGCGACGAAGGTTGTCACCGTAAAATTCGGTGATGAAATGTGCAACAGATCGATAAATTCGGCGACGGAAAATTTACGTCGCAAAGATGATTTTTAAAAAAATTCCATTTTTCCTAAAACTACATCGTTTTGGTTTACGCCTTTAATATTTGTTAGGCTCTGCGATGGAACTTGCAACGACAATTTCCGTCGCAGAGTGATTAGTGTAAAAAACTATCTATCTTCTTCCCCCAAATCTGCACAGTGAGCAGAGATAGAGGCAAAGCGGTTTAGTGAAGAAGCAAGGGAAAACTTCATTTTAGACTCAATTTCTTCAGTTCCAAGTAATTTTTTTACATTTTTATTAAAATTTGCTTGTTTATTTTCATTAAAATATGATTTATTTTAGAAAAAATCATTTTTAGGGTTATGGTGTTGTTTTGGATAAGGTTGATTTGTTTGGAGGCGGTTGGGGCTGCGGGATAGTGGGGGAGGGGGCTGGGGATACGGGACACTGAGAGAGGGGTGTAGGGTTATGG